TTTTTATAGTTTAATTAGGAATAAATATTTTAAAATAAATGAAACTGGAACTGTATCAATGTTTTCATTATATTTTGATAACATTTAATTCTTTTAATCTCTGAGCTGGACATGTCCCTGTATTTGATTTCAGAAAAAAAGACTAAAAGTATAACTGAAACTAATAAAAACTAAACTGAAACTAAGCATTTTCAAAAAATAAAAACTAAACTAGCAAACAAGCCCTGCTAGCTTATTGTAAGTGCTGGTAAAGAGCAGACCTAACACTGGTCCAGAGAGACCAAGTCCCTACAGGAGTAGCTAGACCAATAAAACACATTTAAAGATACTATCCAATTGTGTAGTGCTTTTCCTTAGAAAATGCACACTTCCAACAGAAAATACAGTTGTGCAAGAAAGTTTGGATTTTTACTGCAGGATTTCACAAAATACAAAAAGTACACTGAAAAGAAGCAACAGCTAATTTTGCTTTATGTGTCTTTGGGTTGATAGCATCACTAGAAACTGAAAATAAAGACTGACTGCTGGTCATTTTGCTCCTTCACCGTATCTCTGTACTTTTGATTGTTTTCTACACAGCTTTTGCAGTTATAAAATGGAGCCATTTGCCACGAGGTGTATCGCAGCTAGAGTGCATAAATTCAGGTCGGCATTAGGGAACATCCAGCTGAGGATTTAAAGTTAATTTCTGTAACATTTTCATTGTCTACTGTAAAGAAATGTGGTTCTATGATTATATCTGCCAGCAAGAGTTTGCTAATCTGTCATTTTTCATAAGTGTCGACTGGCACAAACAGGGATTACAACATAAATGAATAGAAATGGGATGTAAATCAAATAAAGTTCTTTTAATAATTTTCCCCATATTTAATAAAAAAGGTAAACTATAAACAAAAATAACAGGTAAGCAATGGTTTAAGTACATGGGTACAAATAATGGCTTGGTTACGGATACAGAATGGAAGAAGAAATGACAACTGACAAAAATGACAACATGTGAGTATGGAGTATGGACGAGTCGCTTTTGACAGGTTGGGCCTTATGGTCAACTCTCATGACCCCTAAGTCATGACAGATGCTTCTGTGGATGTTGAAACTGAAGCAAACAGTGACAATGACAATGGTTGCCTTCAGAACGAATCTGTGTATATTTTTTCCATCTGACTGCTTTCTGTGCATATTTCAAAAGGTTTCTGGTACAACTTCACCAACTTCCAAGGTGCATGGAGGGGGAGAAAAAAATCCAGTGATGTAGGGAGTCCAGCAGCACTTGAGATACTAAGAAACTCCAAAAAGAGACAGGTTGGGTGTGTTTAAAGAAATCTGTCCATTCCGGGTTGGCCTGCTCCTCTTCATATACATCTTCCATGTGTTCTATTTTAGCAGTTTAACAAAAACTGGCATGTTACTAAGACCACAACTAGAACGGGCCTTTGGTCAGTAATATGTAATGTTGACATTATTCAAACAGTTGGCTTTGTTAGTCCTTCAAAGTTTGAAGTGTACAGAGGACCAACAATTTAAAAAATGTTCAAGAGCATGACTGACTTGAATCAAAATGTCTTAACCAAAGTCTCCAGCTACATCATTGAGACCATGCCTGTTAACTAAATCCCTGTGTGGTATAAATTTAACATGCACCACCGTAGAGCCAGCCTTATCATCTGTGATCCCAGCATGAAAAAGGTTTTAATCTCCTGGCTTTTTCTTCTCTCTTATTTTTCCTTTCCTCTCCCCTTCTATTCTGTCGTTGCACATCAAAACCATGCATGATTTGGTTTTCGAAAACCTAATATATTTTCACAGCAATGTGAAGTGAAATTTTCTCTTATCCATACTTTACCGCAGAGAAGCCAGATGTTCTTGTTATTAGATGAAACATTTTACAATTGACTTAACAAGCTGCTATTCTCTTGTCTGTAACAGCTAAGAAATAGTGTACAGGGCTTTACTGTCTAGTAACATATTGAAGATGTTTTCAACTGCAAACATCGAAACGACTTGAAACACAAATATGTTTGTAAAAATGCAAGATGTCACTTCTATAGTGGAGTCAAGTCTGCAGCAAACACCTGGATTGGTTATATCATGCTAACCATGCTTTTTAAGACGAAACTGATGACACCTAAGGGAGGAATGCCACCAGCATCTCCTACTCTGATCAGCCATGGTTTCCTCAGAGGGACATTCCCAAGTCATTAGAAACAAGACTCTCCACCACCTCAGCAGAGTTAGCAATTGAGCAGTTGGTATTACTAATAGGTGGGATTTGCAATTAATATCTTTACATAAATATTGCAAGCAAATAAATGCATTTTTTTTAAATGGAGGTCCATTTTGCCTAGTCTCTTTCTCATTGTTGAATCATAAACTCTGAACTTAGCTAAGGAAAATGTGTGTCATGCAGTGTCATGATCCGCACCTGTGTTGTGTTTCTGTTAATTGCGCCCACCTGTTTTTCCATGTATTTCTGTTAATCCTATGTTGTATTTAAGTCCGTGTTTTCTGTTCCCTCATCCTGGGATTGTCTGTTTGTCCAGCTGCTTTGCTGTTAATCTTGCTTTTCCTGTTACTCCTGATTTCTGAATTTTCCTTTGTATCCTGTAAGTTTTAGTCTGTTCATTAAAATGTATTCATCCTTCATGTGCCTGCCAATGTCCTGCTCCCACTTTGGTTCTTCACCACCTCCACTCATGACATGCAGTGCTTTATGTGTTGTTCTGGGCTGTTTTATGACCTCCTGAATCAGGCGTTGATGTGTTCTTGAAGTAATGTTGGCAAGCTGGCTTCTCCTGGGAAAGTTCCCCACTGTTCCATGTTTTCTTCATCTGTGGATAGTGGCCTTCACTGTGGTTCATTGTAGTCCCAAAGTCACAGAACTGGTTTTGTACAAGTTAGCAAGCTAGATTTAGAGATATCAATTAGTTTGTTTTATATCCTTTAATTATTTTTCCTCAAGGCATGATGTGCTGCCTTCTTTTCCCCTATTTCATGTTGCCTTTTTGAATTTTACAGATCAGGCAGTAATCAGGCTTGGGACAATTATTCTTTTCCACACAAGGCCAGATTGGTTTGGATGGCTTTATTTCCTTAATAAATGAAATCATCATTTGAAAACAGCTTTTTATATTTACTAAGGTTATCTTCGTCTTGTGTGATGATCTAAAACAGGTAATGGTGCCATAAACACAAAACTATCTAAAAGGGAAGCGGTGTGTATGCAAGTATCCGGTTTTTTTTGGGGTTTTTTTTTACTGAATTTCCCTTTGGGAGGTAAATGCCTAATTATACAAATGTCCTGCAGGAATTTAGTGGCTGATTAATTTTTTGAAGTGTGAAACAACAGGATGTCATCAGTTGGAGAACTGGTTAAAACCCAGTTTGTGAAAAGTGCATTATATGAAATTTAGTAAAATCTCCCATGCTTCTGAAATGTCTTACAAACTACTGGAAGGCTAACATTTCTTCTAGTGATTTGAGTTAAACAACATTTGCGTTGTGCTGCAAAGTAAGGTGGCCAAATTTAAAATCGACTTGTCTTTATTTGAACTCAACAGCATGATGACCTCTTCGAGGAGATGTTTGGTCAATCTGGCTCCCTCCAAACAACAATATCTCAGCATTACCATCACTGATGTTTAACCACCCAATGCGCATGAATACATTTGTTTAATATGTGATTATTTTCGTTTGTTTAGATTGGCAAACATTCAAGATGCCACTGGAAACATTTGTCACTCACTTTCACTTTCATGAGAGAGAGGAACAGAACATGTAAATTCCCACCAACATGATCTTCCTCCTATGAGCCAGAACAATGAGGAGCTAAGTGAGGTGGGTCAGAACCACTACATGTCAAAGCAACATACAAGACGGACAGTGGTGGCTGTAAATCTCTGAATGAAAAATCTAAGAGGATATTTTCTATCATTTTATTCATGGATTGATTTATGACCTACCTCTGGCAAATACACAATACAAGCTGATCCCTAACTTCAATCAGAACTGTTCATCCTGGCGCCGTATAAATAAACTGAGTTAACTTGAATTCTGATTCCATACAGTAATCTATGTATGATGTTGTTTTACTGTGCAAAAGATGTGATGCTAGGTACAGGCCCATTTCTCTTTGCCACTCTTTAAAATGGAAAAGAATAGAGAATGTGCAATCAAAGCAAGGCAAATGTGTGTTGATCTTCACAATCCAGGAAATGGTCCATGTAGTAATTAAAATGCTTAAAACAAGAGAAAGTGTTACAAACAAGGCTGGATGAGGAAGCTAAATGTTCCACCAAACACAATGAGGAAGATTGTAAGGGAAGTAAAATGATGTTTCTAAAGCTTACTGTTATACTGCTGCACCTTTAGTAAAGCATCTAAAAACCCTTAAAATAAATGCATCTTTTAGTGCAGTAGCATAATCATACACTGATTATTTTTTTTATTTGAGTAAATAAATTAGTGAGGTTAATATCCCAGAATAGGAAATAGTAGTTTTTCACAAAATCTTCAGTGGCACAATTATTGGTACTACTGCTAAAATACTTCGTGTGACACCCTTTTGCCAACAAGAAACCACTTCTATGATATTTGAAGAGTTCATGATACCATTGACTTTAACGAGGTTCTCAGCAGTTTTGAAGAAAAACAGGCCCACAGCATCATAGATCCCCTGCCATACTTTATGGCGGGCATGAGGTGCCCGCCATCCATCTATTTTCTATTCCTGCTTCTTCCATACAGGGTCAAGGGGGAGCTGGTGCCTGTCTCCAGCAGTCTACGGGCGAGAGGCAGGGTACACCCTGGGCAGGTCACCAGTCCATCGCAGGGCAACACAGAGACACACAGGACAAACAACTATGCACACACTCATACCCATGTTCAATTTAGAGAGACCAACTAACCTAACAGTCATGTTTCTGGACTGTGGGAGGAAGCCAGAGTACCAGAGAGAAAGCCAGAGAGAACCCACTTATGTGCGAGGAGAACAGGCAAACTCCATGCAGAAAGACCCCCAGCTGGGAATCGAACCCAGGACCTTCCTAACCTAGTGCTACCAACTGCTCCATCGTGCAGCCAAAATACAAAAGTATTAAATTGAAATACAGTAGGTGAGTTGAAATTTTAAATAGTTTTAATTTTCTGTCCAAATTTAAAATAAACTGTCCAAGAAAAAGGAAAAATTGGCCCATTTTCTCATATTGTATCTCCCTCCATAGCTCAGTTTGTGCTAAGTATACTTCACCCCCATGACCCTTTTTTCGAGCTCATCCATATTTTAGATATGTAATTATTTTATATGATCCTGTTCATATATATATATATAGTTTTGTGGTGGAAATAGTATGTGGGACTACACCTTTAAGGTGTACTGACGAAACAGCGCCTTATACAGTCAAAGTATTCGATCTGGTGGCAGAATAAGGAGCTTGACTTGGTTTTTTTATTAATTCATTTTTCCTTTTTATTTATTTATTTATTTATTTATTTATTCTGTTTTCTTTTAATGGTTTTGATGAAAACACGCACGGATTATATTAGCCTGTAATTGGCGGCGTCTTGTGCACTGTGAAGTGGTGATGCTTTCAAGTCCTAACAAAAAACTCACCTTATCTAAGAAACGCTCCCTGGGAAACTCCAGAGATGCAGCTGTAATTAATTGTTCAGTATAACAAAACAAACTCTTCAAGCTGGGTTCCTTATTTTAACAAATAAATACACTACAAACAAACAATGATTACAGACAGATATGAAAACTTTTATGATGTGATGAATAAATCAACAAGGGAAAATTACTTTGAAAGTGGTTGATTCATAGCTTGATTTTCATTTCACTTTACCAATCCTATTTATTTGGTCTCCTGGCGTTTTTTGGTCGGTTGTTTTGATTGATAACCCGGAGCAGTGCGTTTTTTCGAGCAGCACTTGAACGCACCTGCGTAGTTTGAAGAACTCGTGTTGCTGCAGCCTGCGAGCCAACAATGAGCGGCTAGATTAAACTGCACTTTGCTCCAGTGAAACTGCACGCAGTGCTAGGCACATGTGCTCATTGTGTGAGTCTGCACTTATCATTCATTTCCACGTCACGGATCGGAAAATCCGATTGAGTTTTGACACCCACGGGTCGCTAATCGTGAACGGTTATGTTGCCTTTACGCTTCGAACTGTTACAATTCTGAGTGCAAACGTTACGTTTGAAACGTTGAGAGCATCTTCAGCCCATAGCATGAGTGTACTAATCGCTGTTTCCCTGTTTTGTCTTCCAGAAGTTGTCTTAAATGGAGCTAGAGGACCAATGGTGGAAGGGACAACTTGCTGCAGATATTTACCAGGCGCTCAGATACAAAGTGAGGGCGACTGATCATCAAATTGAGCAATAATAGAGAAAAATAATTATTTATTTGAATGCATCTATGTTGCTTTTGATTTTTTTTAATTCATGCTGTATTTGATTGATGTTATACCAGTCAGGCATGGCATTATGACCACATGCTTATCAGTGTGCGGGTCCCCTTGTTTCTTCCCTGACCTGCTGAGGGATGGGCTCTACTACACCCCTGAGGATGTGCTAGGGTACCTGGGACCAAGATGTTAGGTCCTTAAAGTTCTAGACGTTGTGAGGTGGAGCCTCCATGGATCTGACTTGCTCTATTGGATTGAGATTTGGGGAGTTTGAGGGCAGTTATTAGCTCAAACTGGACCAGTATGCATTATGCTACTATCCATCAGGGAATAATGTTTCCATAAATGGATGGCGCAATGTTAAGGCAGGTGATATTTGTCAAAGGCCTGCCATCGACATGGATGGCAGGACTTAAGGTTTTCCAGCGGAACGTTGCCCAAAGCATCCTACTTCCTCATTTGGCTTCCCTTTTTCCCCATAGTGCATCATGGTTCCATAGGTTTCCCAGGTAAGCCTCACCCAACCAACCATGTGATATAAAAGAGAAAAGTAATTTCAGACCATCTTCTGTTGTAGTTTTGATGCACAATTGCCCAGTGTTAGTGGACGGGGCTCAGCATGTTTACCCTGACTGAATTGCAGCCAAAGGTGCAACAAACTGCAATGGGCTGTTGATTCTGATACCTTTTTATCAGAACCAGCATTAACTTCCTCACAGACCAGCCTTCACTCCCCACCTGCATCAGTGAGCCTTGGCTGCACAAGACCCTGTCACCAGTTTACTGCTGTTCCTTCCTTGGACCACCTTTGATAGATACCATCACTGTTTGGTCCTTATTCAACTCATTCACTTAAAAAAGCTGGCCTGCTGTTGCTTAATATTGCCAACTACCTACAGCCACAACGGTGCATTTCAATGGTCCGTGGTCATAATGTTATACCAGATCAGTGTATATTCTCAGTGTTTAATCAATGCATAACCAAACCATCTTCTGTTGAATATTTTAGCCCATTTACAGTTAAGCCTCGCTATGGATTATTGATTAAAAATCAATGTGTTTTCTAACAGGAGCTCAAACTGCCCTCCTACAAAGGTCAGTCCCCTCAGCTGAACCTCAGACGATACTTTGCAGACCTCATTGCCATCACCAGCAACCGCTTCCGGCTTTGCCCCGCGGCCAGACACCTGGCCGTCTACCTGCTGGACCTCTTCATGGACCGCTATGATGTCACGGTCCAGCAGCTTCACATGGTCTCACTTTCCTGTCTTCTTCTGGCAAGTATGTGCATCTTTGATCTCTCCGTCCCTGCCTTTGAGTAGCTCGTCGCTATGTTGATAGGACCAATAGATCCACTTTTGTTCCGGTTCCTACAGGTAAATTTGAAGAAAGGGAGGACCGTGTGCCAAAGCTGGAAACCTTGAACAGCCTGGGGTCCATGAGCTCCATGAACCTAGTTCTGACCAAGCAGGGCTTACTTCACATGGAGCTGCTCCTGCTGGAAACATTCAGCTGGAATTTGTACCTTCCTACAGCAGCTCATTTCATAGATTACTATTTGTCTATCGCCGTCTTGGATGGAGATCTGCATGATGGCTGGCCTATGGCCAGCTTGGAGAAGACCAAGTCATACATGGCCAAGTATGCGGACTACTTCCTGGAAGTTTCCTTACAAGGTACATTAAAAAAATAAATCACAACTCTTGATGTTTAGGCATGAATAATGCAAATCAGAGAACTTGTTTCTGTGTATTTGTCAACATTTATTTCATGGGAATAATGGAACAGGTTTGCATGTTTTAATCAAAAAATGTATTGTCATGAAATAACTTACAACAAAATTGAACTGTATTCTTTCTGGAATCTATAACATTAGTGTAAAAAACCATTATATAGATGGACAATATAAAGCAAAAAAATTGAACAAAATGATAACAAAAAATAAAGACTGTAATGTAAAGGGCATAATCTTAACTGCAGGTAAACATTTTAACAGCTTAAGGCAGAAAGATCTGATGGTTCTGACTTTGATGTTCATGTGCAGCAATTCAAAAACTCAATGAAGAGGGTGTGAGGAGTTTTGTCCTTCCTTCCTTCCTTACTTACTTACTTACCTACCTACCTACTACTTATATGTTAAGCCTAAACACTGTAGAAATATCTCCTATGAATTCATGGTAAACATTAAATGACAGACCACTCTGGAATTTCGAGCCTGGACAAACATCCTGCATACTGACATGAAATGTTTGTAAGAAACTTGGCTTGTGGTGCAGATATTCTGCAAAAAAAACATTTTATAAAACAGAATCCTTTTTCTTAGCTGATTTGTGTTTTTGATTTTTTTTAGATCACATCTTTCTGTGCTTTGTTCCCTCACTGGTGGCTGCTGCTTGTGTGGCCGCGTCACGCCTCATCCTCCACCTGTCCCCGAGCTGGGCGCCCCGACTGCAACGCCTCACGGGCTACGCATGGGAGAACCTCATGCCATGTGTGGAGAAACTACTCATGTGTGTACCTACAGTGCCTTGCAAAAAGTATTAATACCACTTGAACTTTAATATATTTGTCGAGATTTTATGTGATAGGTCAAGATAAAGTAGTACATAATTTTAAAGTTGAAAGAAAATTATACATGAGTTTTTTTGTACAATAAAATATCTGAAAAGTGTAGCATGCGATTGTATAAAGCCCCACATAAGCTGATACTTTTTAGAACCCCCTTTTGCCTGCAATTAAAGCTTTAGCTAACTTGGAAATATCTCCCCTCCAAATTTGCACAACTAGATACTGAGGTTTTGACCATTCTTCTTTGTGAGCTTTGTCACATTAAATGTTGAGTGTCTGCACTTAATTATTCAAGTCTTGCCACAGATTCTTAATTTATTTTAAGTCTAGACTTTGACTAGGCCATTTTAACACATGAATATGGTTTGATGTAAACAAGGGATATCAAAAGGATGGTCCGTAGGCGATTTGTGGCATTGGGAATGATTTTATGTGACCCCCTGATCTTAAGGCAACAATGGTACCAATGCGGCCCATCAGCACAATGGGTTGAATCAGAAGAACGCTTATGGAAAAAAAAAGTTGGTAGCACTTTTGTCTTGCTGCAACGAGGTCCTTGGTTCGAATCGAATGTTTGGGTTCTCTGGGTACTCTGATCTTTGCAACTTCTCCAGTGCCTCTTGGCCACTGCTGTGATTAATGCCCACCTTGCACGTCAACAATTTAGGTGGAGGGCAGTGTCTTTGTGGGTTTGCAGTGTGTTCAGATGGTGGATTGAACAGGGTCCTGTGAGATGTTCAAAGCACAGACTGGTCTGTTTTGTTCCTTGGTCTTCATGACGCCATTTGTTTGTTTGTTTCTGTTCACCAGCAAAATTAAATTAGTCACATGTAGACTCTGTTTACTAATTAGGTGACTTCTGGAGCCAATTGGTTGCCCTGGATTTCTTTTCAACAATCAAAAGGGGCTAAATATAAATGCAGTTTGTGTTGCATTGGTTTATCACATAAAATATAAAAAAATACATTGATGTTTGTGGTTGTAACCTCACAAAATGTGAAAAGTTCAAGAGTTCTAAATACTTATGCAAGGCACTGCCACTGATGGAGGAGAGAGAGCATGTAATAAATACAGGACATCTCATAGCGGCACCGTGTGAAACGTT